GTTCAATTTGGTCAAATATTGGACATAATTACATGTAGGTTGAGTTTGTTAGACTCTTAATTTTTGGTCGAACTTATCTCTAGTTATCCCGCCCAACAATAAGCTTGTGTTATATGCATGATATCTTTGAAACGCGATAGTATAACGTATGTTCACTTAGCTCCTTGGTGTTAGTCTCACATCATTTCAGGACTCTGAATTACAGTGCTAACCCGAGCTCCCAATTTTGGGGGAATTTCGACCCATTTAAGGAAAGGCACTATAGTAAACTTAGGGGAAATTGCACTAAAACCCCAAAATTCCCCTTTAACCTTGGTCAGGGCCATTTAACTTTGGGGATTTCCCCAGAATTCCCCAAACATTGGTGAAGGTCATTTGACTTCAGGAGTTTCCCCAAAATGTCCCCGAACTTGGGAGCTCGGGAACTAGATCCTCATGTATCAAAAGTCGCTCCATACCTACAAAAAAGTTGAAAAGTCTGCCCGTCTTTAAACTATTCATTTCGTCTGATACGGGCTCGCCTTTACTTCTATGCTACGTCTCCAACACAGCTAGTACGGTTAATAGTAAAAAGGCTACACAACAATGAGAATATTTGTCTATTCTAAATGGAAGTATTTATTTATTATAACACATAGATATTGATACAAGGAGGCACCAAATACATATGCGCCACACAAAATCTCATTTGATATGTGTGAGGGCTGGGATATTGCCCAGGTGCCCAAACCGAAGCAGGTATTCTAAATGGAGCTTAGAAAGTCTCTAGTGTGCGTAATATTAATGCCACAGGCCACTGTGACTCGCAACTTATTGAGAGTAGGATTTCACCACATTTTTGGTGTTGTCATTGGTTTCCACTAGTCTTTGAGACATAAATGCTTCCACTGACTAATTTACGCATTTAAGACTGGCGGTAATGAATGTTAGTTGTTTCTGTCACCCCATATCCCTTGATCATTGATCTAAAAAGGATTGTGCGTCGGCATTAATTAGTTTCTTTTTATGTGTAGTAAATAGTTTTACTTAACGTCATTTAACCACATGTTCAGAAAACGGGAGTCTGGTAAAAATTTAGGTATTCTTCGATAGTAATGGTTAATATTTAGGTTACATATAAGCTCACTAATAATGAAACCTGACTTGGTTGTATCTGTCACTAACTGTGCTAGGTGTCAAATTTACCCCACAACTTGTTAATCGGGTTAGGGTTTCTGCCGTTTATTGTGTAGAAGCTTGCAATATTATCTTGTCACCCATAGTGAGGTACTACGTGTTGGAATCAAAGCCGTTAAAAGGCAGCTATCAGCTTTCCATGATTTATGCTTCTAAACTTCCTTGAGTTTTTAAAAAATATAGTTATCCATTAAAAGACAGCTTTACAATGTTGTTACCGATCATTTTACATGTATAGCTTACTAGCTGCAGTCACTTTGACTTCAGCATCATTTAGTCAGATTTTGGTTGATATAGATATTTTCAACGTTTTAAATACATCAGAAGCTGTTGATTGAAAAGTTATAATATGGCGATATTCCTTTACTGCAAGATATGTACTTGGTCTTAAGAATATACTATGGTATAATTATCTGAATACTTTACTCCTTTTCTTATTACATCAGTCTCCTCAGAGGTATGCTAGATCTTACTCCATGGATAGACTATAGGTTTTGTTGTGTCCATAGAAATACATATTACATGAGTTAAGAAGCACTTCTGATGTGTGTTCAAGGACGCGTACTTACTTAAGAGTTGGTCACCATTTACGGGCAGTCGACAGTTTCTTACGTTGTAACAAAAAAATGTGGAGTTCACCTCCAAAGTGATGCCTAAAAAAGGTATAATTTTAACCTAGTACATATTTCTAATCCAGACATTGGAAATATGATTTGCATTATATATTACATAGTCTCAGTTTGACTAGGAACACTGTTGGTGTATCCAATCATAATATCACTTAATAATAGCCCATTAATAACAATCGTAACAAATTATTTTATTCCCTATCTTGTTGTAAATACTCAACAAAACCTTTTGATTTTCTTCTAAATATCGCATCATGTTCATTCTAATTGCGAAGTTTTTCTAACATAGTACGAGCTTAATATTGCATGTTACTATTCAAGCCTATACGCTATTCTACATGTTTCTGTGAATAATTATACTCGGTGTCGTTTTGTACACACTTATTGTTGAATTACAGAAGCGTTGTATGACAGATGAAGCATGTTATCGCGACCTACATTTTCACTAATCCTTACTACTGTTCAGATTAATTCTAAGTTGTCATAATTTTATTGTTCCTTTCGTAGCACGAACACTTAAAATGCGTGGTCAAGCTTTTGTTGTCTTTGATGATATCAATAGTGCGTCCACGGCACTTCGGGCAATGCAAAGCTTTCCACTGTATGAAAAACCCATGCGAATACATTTTGCCAAAGTTGATTCAGATGTCATTGCTAAACGTAAAGGCACATTTGTACAACGACCAAAAGCTGCATCAAGAGCAGCAGCTGCGGCCGCTGCTGCTGCTGCTGCCGAAGCCGCAGCTTCTGCTGCTGCAATTAATTCAGCCGGTCCACAAGGAGGCACTAGTGCTAGAGCTATCCGTAGAAGACAACAAAGAGCTGCAGCAGCCGCTGCTGCCGCTGCCGCTGCAGCTTCGGCCTCAGTTAACAATGATACCATAGGTGAAACAAATTCTAATGGTGTCGATCAAACTAATAGTTATCGTCCTCCTCCACCACCACCGACTGTGAATCCAGCAACTATTCCAGATCAACCACCTAATAAGATTTTATTCTTAACTAACTTACCGGATGATTCTGACGAAGCAATGTTAAGTATGCTTTTTGGACAATTCACTGGCTATCGAGAAGTTCGTATGGTTCCAGGAAGACATGATATTGCTTTTGTTGAATTTGGTAATGAAGTAGAGGCATCAGCTGCGAAACTTGGCCTTCAAGGTTTTAATATTCGACCCGGTCAAGCTATACGTATTACTTTTGCGAAGAAATAAAAGGATTTTGAAAAAAAATTAGTTCATTCATTTTAACTATGAATTTCTTCAATCTTATTACTTCATACGTGTACATGTTTACAATTTTCAATAAAATTAAAATTCTATTTGGTCTTAATGAGTTTTCTTTCTCATACCAATAATTGATATTATCTGATTGTTGAAAAAATGATGACGCTTATTGTTGTTTTTCCTGTTTAATTAATTGTATTTGTATAGACTTTGGCTTTTGGTTTGTTCCGTATGAATAGATTATATTGAACGAACCCTTGTGTATAACATTAGTTTAAATGTACTAAACACTAGATAACTAAAATATTTTGTCATTAATTTTCATTGCCTTTACAAACCAGTCTAAATGTTATAACGGATCCCATATTTACTCGTACTTGTCATTTATCAAAAATTCCAAAGTAGCAAAATGGATTGGTTTTGTGGTGTGTAGGTTTTAAAGGCACTTAGGTCACTGGAGAAACTAAAATGTTACTATAATCACATTCAGTTGACTACTTTGCCCACGTAATCTATTTCTTAAAATGGTCATCCAATACTTTGTTGGATTGTATGAATAGAGTAGTGAACGATATTCATTCAGACTTCACAACTGACGTAACTACTTGAAACCACCATATCTACATTTTTGTACATACAGGACTTCTCAAGTTGTGTATGGTGTTTAGTGACTGGAGGTAATCTACAGGAATTACTGGACCCCGAAATAATGCTGTCTGACGCTTAAACGAGGGACATCTTCCGTCTTGGAGTAACTTCATGTGACAATCTAGAACACTGAGTTAGTCATAAAGAGAACATCAGTCTCCCTAAGACTGAAGATACGTCTTACTTAAGAGCGTTAACTGTCTTAGAACTTAAACACAGTGCTTCTTTCAAGTTGCCTCTAATATCAAAGTGAAATGCACTGTGAAATCGATTAATTTTGACAATTATTAACATTGGAACCTGGCCGTCAAAATTAATTAAACACTCAGTACTAGATAACATGACATTGATTACTGCTAAGTAACTAAGCAGTCTAAGCTGCGTAAACATGTTCGGTCTTTAATTAGTACAATTTGATTGTTACAATTACTCCATAGAAACCTTAAACTAGTCTGAAGTTTATTCTTCCAACTAAAACTTGTATGGTGAAGCAGTGGCTCAGTTGTAATAGTGTTTAACTTTCAGTCATTCACTCACCCATGGGTTCAAATCCTCCTACACTTCGGTCTAGGAAGTCGAATCATATCGCTAGCCGTCTCCAAATGTGATTCAAATTCATTGACAAAAATTTGTACTCGGATTATGAGCTAATACTAATGATATATAATTGACCTTTATTTATTTTATGATTATTTGTTTGAATGGATTAAAGCTTGATTTGTGCACGTTATGCTATGAAATTAATATTATTGTAGCCTGATTTCTACGCGGTAGTTGTCCGTTTGTACATTTTCAGTCCACTAGCATACAGATTGAAATTTGCGTGTTCTTTATATGTTTTGATCATAGTAAGAAAACAATCCCATCAAAGCATACAAATGCAGGCCTATACAGAATTTCCATTTTCGACAGATTAATTAAAGTACATAAAGCGCATTTTCCAAACTGATGCTTCCAATCAAAAAGCACACCTATAAATAATACCCTAGTTTCACTTCTAATCTGAAACTACTGGTAATAGTAGTAACATATGATACTTCATAGTTTACATCACTGACTGACTTTAGACAACTATTCTAAACTAGGCAACACTGGACAGCTGTTTCGTTCTCATGAAAATCCTCAGACAGTTCTTGATGTAGACTTTAAAACTTAAAAATCAAAAATTCCCCCACACTGATTATATATATAATATCAAGTCCTACCTTCTTCCAGCATGTAACACTATTTCAATTCATTCATTATATCCCTTCTTTGTTTCCATATATATACGGTGTGTGCATGCGTGCGTGCTCGGATTTGATAAATATTAGTTCTGTAAATGGATATCCGACCAAATCACACATTGTATGTGAATAATCTAAATGACAAAGTAAAGAAAAACGATTTGAAAAAAGCACTATATTATATATTTGGTCAACATGGTCGACTAATTGATATTATAGCTATGAAAACAATGAAAATGCGTGGACAAGCATTTATTATTTATCAAGATATTGCTTGTGCAACGCAAGCTTATCGTTCATTGCAGGGATTTCAGTTATTTCAACGAGTAAGTTCATTTTATTTAGTCCTAATGCATGTATATATTTGTATACTTATGCAGTGTTGTGAAAGAACTGAAGCTATAAATTGATCATATTGGATATGTAGCTATCAGTAAAGTTTAAGACACGCATTTTGTCCTATCTGCAGATCGTCAGCTGGGTGTATTTGGATTCCAGTGTTGATGTTCACACTGACTCAAACTCTGTACTTTTCTCTTCGAGTAATTATCATGTTATCCATTGAGCTATTAAGTACAGTGATCCACTCAACTATTCAGCAGGTATAAATGTGTCAGTAGATGTATGTGATTTCCTGTTGTTGATGCTCAGGGCTGCAATTGATCTTTCTCTGATACGTGTGCATTCTTAGCGGGTTGCCGCGATATAGCTTTATCACAGGATTCAGTATGTGTCATTTGGCATGCTTGAATATCAACAATGGAAATTTACGGTTTTTTACCAACACTACTTAGTAAAATTAAGTCTTACATTACTCAGTAACCAACTTGTGGTTCATGTATTAGAATTCGAGTCACATATTTTGTTTGAGAGCTAATGAGACCACTACTGCTACTACTACATATCTACGCGATGTTCAAGTTTATAACCATTGACTGGAAATCTTATCCCTTGTCTACTAAGCAAATTTAAGCGAAAAATTTGAAAATTTAAACATCACTTTCTGTACTTTGAAAGATTTCCCCACTACTAAATCCATCTCAATAATTAATTATTTCCATGTAGTTATACATCAAGTAACAGCTAGTCTAGGTTACAAATTTTCACCCAAGTTGGTGAATGCACCGGGAACAAACATACTTTGTTAAACACATGCATTGAGATAAAATAACCAGTTCAATATGGCTAAATGGATCATAATTACATCAATCAATTAAGGAAGTGGATATTTTAGACGTTCCAAAAAATATAGACTAGAAAACTTTGCAATAGGTTAACAGTTACTTATAAGTAATATTGTCAAAAAGCATGACTCAAAAGTCATAAAACAATACTAATAACATGAAGTTTTGTACATGGGGTTGTTAAGTTTCAATCGTGTTAGATATTGTGAGGCTTCATATGCACTTGAAAAGGCCAGTTGGTATCTTCCGTTCATTATTTTTCGAAGATCATCTTACGAACTAAACAATAATAATAACAGGTTGGGTGAGTCCAGATATATGATGCTCCTGTGCGCACATGATGTATTAAAGCCAAGTGCTAAGTGATAGATAACGAACAAGTCATTATATCGAACTTAGCTAATTGTGCCCTTTTCCAAGGTCTTGGGTATTATCCCTGAAGGGCTATATATATCAATAATTTGTGTACATTATTATTACGTTTCTAGTTATAGCTCCCTATTCACTCTTAGGCTGCTCAATCACGTAACGTATTGTGATCTAATATAGGAAGTGTTGTGTTTGTATCTTTTTGGATTACGACAGAGCTGAACATATATCAAATAAAGCACTTTTGAAATACAACCTACTACCCTTTGTGTATTCGATAGCACAACTGTCTTCTTTACTTTATTAGATGATTTCCATATACTCTTTCTCTATACTATGTAATCTCGAGCATTAAGTACGGTGGATATGTATGCTAGACGCATTAAGTTTAGGAGCTAATTGAGCAGTCATATTTATCATGATAATATTGTATTATATGAATGATATAAAATCCACACCCTTCCTCTTCATGCTCTCTTTTTTTATGTCGTATACTGTTTCGATTATCACTTTTAATAATGTTGGGTATTCGAGAAAAACTCCCCTTTTCTTGTGTTGTGCCCACCTGTTCCAGTCAGTCAGCTAGTACATAGGACCAGGCACATATATGCATCGGTCTAAGTTACGACACCTCGTTAGCATAACAGGATAAACACCAGATTCATAGAAGTAGTTACTTCAATCGTTTATTTATTTATTTGAACATAAATACGGGTACAAAGGGGCCCAACCAGATATATATGCGACACACAATATTAATGAGAATGTGAACATATGAAGAATGTGAGGTGCGTATCAGAAGAAAAGAAACAATAACGAACAGAAATTAGTGTATGATAGGGAAACAATAGTAAAGAAGGAGCAGTTCAGTTAGCAAAGGTACAACCAGAAAAAATTCTTTCAGTTAAGGAAGTTACAACCTCTTTTTATGAAGAAAGTAAAGGAAGGTTACTGCAGGATCGCTACTGGCTCCTATTCTGAGCCATATGTGATAACGTCTCTAGCCACTGTGTTGCACCATCTCTCGGACCCCAGCCAAGAAGTCGTTAAGGACCAAAAGAAGCCAGTCCTGTACTGTTATCCTCCACATTATGATACCATGTCATGCACTGACCACCTCTCCGCTTTTTCCAACCAGTCCCAGAGTCGGCAAATAATGCACGACTTGGGATTCTCTGGGACGACATCCGTAGAACATGTCCAAGCCACCAAAGTCGGTGTTTCAAGATGGTGACACCAATTGCATTATCGTCTCTGTGCCCGAACACACGATGCCGAACCTCTGCATTGCTAACATGGTGTTGCCACTGGATGTCAGCAATCCTTCGGAGACAACGACGATCGAACACAAAGAGTCGTCTAACATCCTCAACTCGGAGAGGCCAGGTTTCACAAGCATAGAGCGAAACTGCTCCCACCGACGCGTTGTAGACCCGACCTTTTACAGCCAGACTGACATCACGTAGGCGCCAAAGATGGCCCAGATTGGCATAAGCCGCTCTGGCTTTCACTATACGTGCATTGATCTCATCACTCACATCACCACCAGCACTTATGCAGCTACCTAGATACACGAACTTCTCGAATACTTCTATCTGCTCACCATCCAGAGTAAGTACAGGATTAGAATCCTGCCAGTCTTGTAGAAGTACTTTGCACTTCGAAAGTGTAAAGCACATACCATACATACGGACAGTGATTGTCAACTGATTAAGTGCGGATTGCATGGCTTGGGCATTATCGCACAGTAAGACAATATCATCCGCATACTCAAGGTCGAGAAGTCTTTCTCCAGGCAACAGGTCAATACCACCATTACTTACATCCATCAGAGCTGTTTCCAGAATGTCATCGATGGCAAAGTTGAAGAGGAATGGTGAGACTGGGCAACCCTGCCTAACTCCACTACTCGAATGGAACAATGGAGAGAGGTGGTTGTATGCCCTCACTCTGCCTGAGGTGTTTGTATATAGGGCTTTTAGGATGTTAATAAACTTCTCAGGCACATCCTTCTTCAATAGACAATCCCAAAGAACAGTCCTGTCCAACGAATCGAAGGCAGCCTTGATGTCAAGAAACACTACGATTGTTGGCCTTTGATAAGTATGGCGGTGTTCTAACATTTGGCGGAGGGTGAAGATATGATCAATACATCCTCGACCAGAACGAAACCCAGCCTGCTCCTCGCGAGTCAATCTTTCTCGGGTTTAAACGACCTACGAAGTATGACGGAAGCCAATAGCTTGGACGCAATCGGAAGTAGACTTATCCCCCAATAGTTGTTACAGGAACGACGTGAACCCTTTTTAAAGATAGGGACAACTATCAACTCATTCCATGACGTTGGTACACTCTCTAGTTCCCTGACTTTTGTAAACAAAGTCCTCAGTTCTTTAGCCAGAAAGTCACCACCATCTTTAAAAAGAGCCGGAGGTAAGTCATCTGGGCCCGGTGATTTGTAACGCCTCAAGAGTTGGAGTTCCTTGTGGACTTCTGCCTCATTTAGTGGATCAGTCGTCACCGGCCATAGAGGGCAGGACAGTCTGACCGATGTTGCCGGAGCAGCAGGCCAGTTGAACTGCCCTTCGAAGAATTCTGCCCCTCGTCCAAGACGTCGATGGATGTTAGTGATGGGCATCCCGTCATCCTCACAGATTTTTTTTGCTCACACCAGACTTCATGACGCCACTTTTATGGCGTCATGCAACTGAAGCTGCAACCAATTTACCGACAACGATTCGTTTAGGATGATGGGTTTGTTGTCCACTGAAAATTAAGGTAAGATTGGAGCAAACAAGAGTATGATCAGAGTCCAGATAGGTACTCCAAAAGGAGCAGCAGTTTTGTACACAACCACGCCAGCAGTAGCTGATCGCGATGTGCTCAATCTGAGTCCAGGTTTGAGATGCAGAGGAAGGGCGCTCAGTGGCACGTTGGCGATGACTATGCCGGTAGTTAGTGCTAGCCAGAAACAGGTTGTGGTCTGCGCACAGTTGCAGTAGACAGTCCCTGTTATCTGTCCTGCAACCAACAAGTCCCCATCGGCCACCTAAACGACTCTCTTCTGTGTCTAGACGCCCGACCTGAGCATTCAAGTCTCCGGCTAGCACTACAATATCTGTCGAACGCACTTCGTGGAGAAGCACAGTTAACTGGTGGTAAAATTCATCCTTGATTGCATCTGGGCTGCAATCTGTCGGGCATAGGCGGGGACGACGAAAAGACGTCGTTTTTCACATCGATTTCTTATTACTTTGATGGAATTTTCTAATCTAACACAAATGAAATGAAATGACGATATTACTGAAAATACTATTCACGCTTCGATTGAAAGTCAAACAGTTCACAATATTATTATTATTATTATTATTGTTATTATTATTATTATTATTATTATTATTATTATTAAAACGTCACTTATTCACTCTCTTTTATTCCTACTTTGTGTATCCTTATTTTTCAACTATTCACGCTTCGATTGAAAGTCAAAAAATTCACAATATTTTTATTATTGCCACGTCACTTATTCACTCTCTTTTATTCCTACTTTGTGTATCCTTATTTTACAACTTATACAGCAGCTCGCTTTTGGTGGAAATTCGGTTCTATCTAAACGATCTCGAGTCACTGACTGGCCGAAAATTGAATGCTACCACCGAATACGAATACTGAAACAGTTTTTCTGAAACCACTGTGTGGCGCATATATATCTGGTGCCCCCTTGTACCAATATTTATGTATTCAAATAAAATAAATATAATAATAATCTAACAGCATTTAATCGACTGTTAATGGGGATCCAATCGATTAGTGCTGCTTCAGCTCTAGCGCTTAGTATAACACCGACGACAGCAAAGCCAAAAGAAGATGCCACAGGGTCCCCGGATAAGCGCACATAATAGAAGCTTTTCGAAGTGACAAATAGGGAGCGGATTTGTAGTATTTCACTGGAGTCTTGAATACAGGTATCGGATAGACAACAGAAGTCGATATTAAGACTTTCACTGGTAGTAATATATAAAAGAAAGATTATGTGTAAGGGTATAATACAGGAAGGAAGGATTAGTTCGTAGAAAGAAATGTATGAAGTAATTTTAATCTCACGATTTGAGAGAAGACAAAGAGTGTATACACCGACGCCATTGTGATCGATTCTAAGCCATGTCACCAAGAGTCTCCAACCATTGGTTACGATAGTCACGCAGACCGCAATCAAGTAATCTACATCTACCAACATGGTTAGACTAGAAGTTTGTGACTTCAAGCACTGGTGTCACGTTTTGGTTTGGCCACCCCTAACTTTATTCCAACCATCCCCAACACTAGTCAGAATTGAACGTCGTTGTAATTGGTGTTCAGGCATACGTAACACGTGACCCAACCATCTCAGTCGATGAAGCTTTACAACCTCACCAACTGATTTACCGTCATTCCCTAATACCCTGCGTCTAACCTTACTATTACTTACCCGGTGATCGCAGCAGATGCGAGCAATATTTTTAAGGCATCTGTGGTCAAATACTAGTAACTTACGGGTATCTTCTACTCTTAATGGCCATGTTTCGTAGCCGTAAAGTAGAACAGAACGAACTGCTGTGCAATATACTCGTCCCTTAATTGATAGACGGATATCTGGCCTTTGCCATAGGTGACACAAGTTGACAAAATCCAAACGAGCTTTTCGAATCCGTGCTGAGATTTTGTCAGACATCAACCCATTAGGGCTGATCAGACTTCCAAGGTAAGTGAAGTTGTCAACACGTTCGACTACTTCACTCCCTATCTTTAGTTCAGGTGTTGACGCAAGCCAGCCCTGAAACAACAATTTTCACTTAGTGTGGAAGAAACACATCCCAAATATCCTATCATTGTTGCTCAGTGCTACTAGAGTTATTACTTCTCTTTTTGTTACATATCATAAAGTTAATATCTGCCTTTTGGAATACGCAATCGTTACTTAATAATTCAGTTGTAATGATTTATGTCATCCGATTGTTTCTGTTATGGACTGGAATTGATCAGTCTCTTTTAAAATATGTGCATCCTTAGGGGATTGTCTTGATATTGCTGTCATTCATAAACTCTTTTAATCATATACAGATAATAGATAGTCGTAGGAGTAGTAGAATTCAAGACACACGTCTCATCCTATTTGTGAATCATCAGCTTGATGTACTTACATCCCAGTGTTGATGTTCACTCCATTACTTGAATCTACCATTAACAACCGTTCATCTCTTCTTACAAAAATTTCACTTCCTTTAATGTTTTATTCTGTTATATTCATATATATTTTTTTCTCAGCCTATGCGAGTAACGTATGCTAAAAAAGACTCGCAACAAATTATCTGTTTGAAAGGTGTCAGTGCTGAAGTTCAAAAGAGACGTGAAGAAGAACGCGAAAAACGTAGACGAAAGAAAATGGCACAACGTGCTGCAGCGGTAGCAGCGGCTTTACAAGCAGCTAATCAATCAGTAAATGGTCCAGTATGTTTTAATCATTATTATTGTTTTCTTTATTTGATCATAAAAACGATTTGACCAGTTCAATATCATATATATTCATAGTATAGTATAGTTTTAAAATCCTCTAAGCTAGTACTTAGTTTAATTAACTGAAAAGACTTTATTCTGGACATTACATCATCAACATTCTATTCATGTATAGAAGTGAACTATTTAGAGTGATTCCATAAGTGCTAAATCAATTATTTTTGTGTTACTGTTGTTTATGATTAATCTAACCTGTTTTGTTTGATTGGTTTCTGGTCAGATTGTTTGTCATCTGACATTTTCTTTCAAATGAAATAACTAGAGTCCACTTATAAATTAAATAAGCGTCAATTTTTTGTTATTCAGAAGGATCACCGGGTAAGTAATAGTAAGGTTAGACGCAGGGTATTAGGGAATGACGGTAAATCAGTTGGTGAGGTTGTACATCCCGAACAGGACCGTTCAGGTGAGTCCAGAACACCAATAACAGCTTCCACAATAAGAATCATATATTTCAAACATACTGGGTTTATATATCAAACAAACAGACCGCAACGCACCATAAAATAGGGAATAACATTTGTACACAATAAAGCCAAAAAGTGGCTGTGAACATGGGAGACGATAGTTAATGAACTGAACATAGTTTAGGAACAGTAAATCGTACAATAATAATATATAGGTCAAAATGAAGCTTATAATAACAGGAATATAAATATACATAATCTAATTATTGAATACTCATACCATAAGAATATATTGATAATATTAGTCCATTAATAGGTCTCATGGGTTACTCGTGATTTAATCTTCACTAGAATATAATACAACCAAACGAAACCGTAGAACTCGCTTTCGAATTGTTGAAAAAGACATAGAAATGATATTCCGGCCGAGAAAATATCCTATTGACGTAGACTATAATTGATACTCCCACCCAAACCCTTTACATTCTCCTGCTAGCTAAAGTATAAAACCTGTAAAATCATCCTACGTAAGGGCACTCACTGAAGCAAATGCAATCTCTCCATTGACACAAATGACTGGTTTTAATTGAAGAATCTACGCGACAAACATGCGCCAAACACGATAAGGTTGAACGGTCAGCTCAAACCAGAATCTACTATTTCTATGTTAGTCTACAGGACACGAACGGTACTGCCAGGAGTATATTTCTGAAAATCTAGTTAGATGCCGCTTATCCAGGTATGGTCAAAAACATACAGCGCGAGTTCGCAGATAGAGTTCCACCCCGATGGAGTTATTAGAAGACCACTTTGATAAATTGGAAAAGTTTTGCAACAAAATATTTACGAAAATATACCAGTCGATGTGTGTGTGAATAATAATGAATATTTTTGTAATGGAAAAGATTAACAATTTTAAAGTTTTTTGGAAGTAAAAAGAACAGGGCACTTGGTATATATTGTGACGTTAGCGAACGCATAAGTAATCATTTGATTACAGCATAAGTAGACGCTTATCCTCTATGTCCGCAAAAGGTGCTGCCGGGTAAAGGGCAGCGAGGAAGCGTTAGCGGTAAAGCGAGAGAATAAGAGCCCTTACCAAGGCTTAAACTTTCTAAGTGGAATAAACAGTAGTGTGTCCAATCATTTGTTAAGAAACGTACTAGTTTCTATCAGTAAATATAATGTGATTAAAGAATGTGCTCGTAAAATACAGTAAAAAGAACGATTATTCATAACAGTTCTTAACTCATGTCTATGACAATATCTTCAACTTGTCAGTCCTGGGATTAAATCGACTTTGGTCTCAGTTTTCTGGAGATTTGCTTGACTGCCTATGCTGACAATTTGCATGGATGATTTTTTCGCTTAACCATCATTTAGACTGACAAGGTTCTGAAATGTCTTTTAAATGCGAAACTGATGAGAAAGCATACTAAAACCATCTATAAAAGATGAAGATAACCACAAGAAAACAATATTGGTCAGTGATTTGGTCAAAACTTACTATTTTGTGGTGCGTTAAATAACTCGAGATTTTAATACGATATAACCCGTGAGATAATGTAGTGAACGTTTAATACATATGCTGTGCAGTCAAATACTTCATTTTGTGGTTGTTTTATCTATAGCTTAGATTCCTGATATACTGAGTACACCTAGAGCACTCGAACGCTATAACCCTCATAAGTCTCAAATTAGAAAACAGAAGACAAGTGAAGCGAGCGCCATTCCAAACAGCAACAACCATGACACAAAACTGTCAGGTATTTATAGTTTCTATTAAAAACAAAATCATTGTAGTCGTCCAATCCACATACAGAGGTTAGCATTTGTATAATAGGAAAGCCACGCGTATGGATTCTGAAATATTCTCTCAAATGTTGATTGAATGGAATTTCTTCGGCTCTTTCTGAGCTTCTTGAGGCTACCTCGAGTTCATTTATGAGCCGTCCTCACACCTTCCATCTTTAAAGTCTGTTGAGTAAGACGTTTTCATCGGATCCACCTGAAACTTGTTTACCGCATTCCTCTCGCGGTTCATTACTCCTGAAGGTTGTGCAGATTTTCAATTCCGTCTTTTCTCTCTACTACATTCGTTCGTCTTAGGGTTTTTTTCTAGATGAGTTCGCATTGTGTGATCAATGTTCTGCCGTCCACTTGAATGTGAAATACTAACTCATAGATTATGCAAGTTAATACAAAAATCTTTCAACGTCGAAGAACTGCGATTAGTGTTTTCTACGCGCCCAATGTTGACACCAGAGCTAAAAGATGAATTACCTAGAATGACCAGCTACTTTCGTATTTATCAGTTCGACTGCTTCAGTGGAGCAAGTTATTTTGGTGGATGTTCTAGGAATTAACAGTCTCGTTCTCGTGGACGCTTCTCAGTTCGGCTAAACAAAGATTTGATGAAGAAAGTGAACGTCTAGATATCGGCCTATTTAGTACAAACTGGTCACAATGCCAGTATAAATCAATTCTTTTCAATTATTTATCGGGTCAATAAAATTTCGCCAAAGCTTGTCAGACCTAAAGTCCTACACCCCATTGCACAAGTAAGTAACCATCAGGACTTAGTAGCTAAGTGGGTAACGCTGTGACGTTTGAAGCGAACGGCAATTAGTTCGAGTCTCAAAGTGAACATCAACCCTGAGATGCAGGTGCATCCCGCTGACGCGTCCCAAACAGGATGAAACTCGCGTCCTGGATTCCACTGCTAGCTCTTATCCATCTTTACAAATGGTAAGTGCTTGTGTTTCAATAGAGCACAAAGAATGGTAGTCGTTGTCAAAACTGATAAGAACCTCATAGCACACTTCGGAACAATGACGTTGACTAAGAGCATCATCAGTATCAACTGTGAAGTATATTTGCCCCTTAAAACTGAAATTCAATATGCAAAGCGGAATTCCTATTTCTCAACAGCACTTAACACACTCAAAGCACCGGAATTTTATGTGAAGCTGAAAGAGACAACTCCAGTTTAGACCTTTATAATGACTGAGCTTTGAATGAAACTCCTATCTGTATACTGACCACGTCAATAATGAAATAACGGACGGAATCATAATTAGTCTTCATGATACTGAGTTAACAATAGTTTGTCACACAGAATTCACTGAACAGTGAATGATAAGGTAAGGAAGAATGAAAGTGCCTAATTATGTATTGAGAGGATGTTCCGACAGCTCAGGTTAAAACAATGACCGTCATTAATTTCAAATGATATTTTCAGTAGAGAGGTTTCATCAAAATGAACATTTACAACGGACTCATTGTTGATTGCAATAATCACAAAAACACGTATACACAATACTAATGATTTGCAAATATAATGTTGCAAAACTCCTGTAAGACAAGTCTGTTTCTATTGAATGAAGACGATTACGCAAATAATAAAAACCATGTTTTGAATTTTATTAACAATATCACATCATTTATTACGTAAACAAGCATAAGAATGTATATAAACCAATTCTTCTCAATTATTTATAGGGTCAGGCGTAAAGTCCTTCAAACGGTTAAAGCATTGATCATCCAGATGAAGAAATCGGAGCTATGTGTACTGAAGAAATATCTTCAACCACTACTCCACACTGGTCAACATGAAGGCCAATTAATCAATAATGATCTTAGCTACTGAATGATCTAATTTGACTATTTTACCTAAGACCGTCCGTCGTCAAGTGTAATTGTCTATGTTGTCTCTATTCATAAATCATTTGATCATTATTAATGTTTAAACATAATTGTTATTCTCATCAATATATGATTCATTCACTTCGCATTCATCCATCCTTATTACGTCCTACTGATTTTTCACACAGTATAGTCTTCCACCAAACATTTGACCGTACTGTAATTGCACTGTTATGTCTCTCACCCTATCTGACCCATATTTATTCTGATCATGGATCTGAAATTTTCACTAAACATAAATGCAGATTCAAGTTAACATTCTATATGAGTCATATCAACATTAACAATTTTACTGCATTTTGTTTGATAAACCTAGATTCACGTGCTTTAAACGATGTGCTTTTCCCTTAAACTGGTGAAGTGTTTGTAATAACTAACGATTCCCTTGTACTTGATGAATATTTGATTTCGAGTTCCAAATACAATACGTTCGTTCGTGCTGATCTAGTACTTCTTGATAAAATTTCGATATTTCTGGAATTCTTAGTTTGTAATATAATTAAAATACTTCGAATTATGATATTGGCGTCGTCATGGGGTCTGCGATGGAACAGTTAGATATTCATTCAACTTCTGAAGCTATTTGGAAAGATTGGAAATCTAGAGCATGATGAAGAAATATGTCAAAGATGATAACATTGTGGCACATTTTCTCACATTCATCGGAAACAGAGCATACAGCATACTGGAAACTTTGGCATATCCAGAAGAGCCTATCTAATTTTTTTTATGCAACTCATAAAAAATTATTATTAAATCATGCAAATTACACCAGTTTTGAATGCCGTAAAAGGCGAAATATCACAAGATGATTCGTCAGAATGATCAACAGGTTAGGGAATTCATCCATGAATTGCAGAAACAAACTGCCAATTG